AGACACCAAGAGATGCCCCTACGAGCTAAAAAGCAACTTCCAGAAGGAGGAGTCTGGAATAAGAATTTTATTCTTATGACGTCTCGTACTCGCTGTGGAATCCATAATAGGAGGAAGCAACCGGAAAGGATAATGAACCCGAAAGGGCTGCAGTGTATTAATTGCTGTCTACAAAAAAGCATAGCGTCTCTTTCATTCAGCACGTATGGTCGACCATGATTTGAACAAGGCAAAGATCAAGAGACTTGTAGAATTTATTGACGTCATACAAATTCACGACCTCCTATTGAACTGCAAACGGTCATCGCCTATAAAGAAGATAAATTAACTATCCAATTAATTGTCGACCTAGAAGGGTGAAACTTGACAGGTAAATAGACGAGGAAATCTGACGGCAGGCCTCACACGCGCAGACTGGCGAAACGTCAGAGTACGAGCTCTTAGTCTTGGATGTGGGTGCATGGTGAGGGGTTAGATGAGGTAGTTATCACAGCAAGGTAGTACATTTCACGGTAAACGCCTGTGAAGTGTGATTAAAGGTGGGGGGCAAAGAACAGTGCAGTAGTCGGTCACATGCATTATGCATATGCATGCATTAATATAGATGTTCTTTGGCCCCGAAAGCAATATGGGCAGCCTTTATTCCCATATTTGAACGGACTGGCTTGCTAAACGCTACTTTATGCCTACTCCTTTTCAGGAACTTCTCACTCTTCGTAGACTGATGAAAAGGAGGTGAGGATTCCTTATAAGCAACAGCACGGTACCAAAAACCAGGTTCCTATAATCCGGGACCGGTAGTAATAGGGGTTTTATGAGCGAGACATGTCAGGGGGAAGGAAAAAAACGAAATAATAAACTAAGAAAACTAAACTAAATTGATTAAATTATAAAATAAGTAAACTAAAACCAAACGAAATAAAGCACAGTAAAGTAAAACGGATAAAGCTAACTAGTAGACTAACGGGTACACTAAACAAAATAATAAACTACAAAAAAAAATAAGTTAGTTCTGTTTAGTAAAATTCTGTGTTGTTTATAAGGAATCCTTGCCAAATAAGTCCTTTTATACGTTTGCTTGATACCTTAGCCACATTTTTTGGGATATATCGATATATCACTCTTTCTTGCGACCTATCCCTGACTCCTTCCAGACTGACCTAATTTCTATCTGGGGAACGCACTTGCCTGCATCTGTTGGGCAAACAAAAGGTCAACTAACGTTAATAGCTGCGGTGTACGAAAATATTGAAGATAAGCCACTCTTCGGATGAGGGTGCGTCCATCACTGAAATTGTGCCTGTCTATCAGACAAGTAACACATAATGTGAACTTAAGTTAAGCCCCGCAAATTACTTTGTGAATTTAAATCTAATCGATCGGAAACCAGACTTTCCAGAAAGTTGACTGAGTCATAAAATTACCTCATTGACGGAACCTGTCGTTGCGAATTCAGAAAGTAAGGTGTCCGTTTTACATAAACAGCAACCAACTTCTTTATCAGGAGAACGAGCTGAACATTTGGGCAAAATCAGGTCGTGGGCTGTGCGGTTGGACTGAAGCGCTTATAATAGGTGGTATAGCAGATGAACTCCAAGGATTTATACAAGAAAATCGCTGGTACATAACATAGCCCCAGCTACGTTCCTAAAATTCTTTACGTATAAAATTAAACTTCCTAATAAAAAAGAAGATGTATTGTAGTTTATCAAGTATTATTATATGGTAAAATAGAATTATTTTTTTAGAGAAATAGAAATATTTGTAAAAGTGAAAATCGAAGCCATTAAGAAAACTATAGTTTTCAATGAAGGGGCAAAAAAACGAGTGAATAAAGTAGCACAAGTAGAATTACGTTTTAAAATAGGGCGTTGGTGACATTTTCGGATAAGTATGCTTCCACATTGCGCGCAATATATTGCGAAGTCAGAGCAGCATAGAGCAAATGGTGCAAAAAATGTCCAGTTACTTCTTTATTTTTATCTTTCGGTTTTAAAAGGGTTCCTAAATTGCCGAATAATTTTGAAACCTACTGACTGCTACACTTGGCTTCAAGCTTTACAAACCGCGCGCTGATTACAGCCTGTTTAAGGAAAAGTACGTTTTGGCCTACGGTTTGAGGAAGAAGTCACATAGTTCTCATAAAATATAGCAGTATATGTGGATTATGCTGTATAGGCAGCATTAATGAATTTACGGATACGATATATTATGAATGAACACCTCACAATAGTCAAAAAGCTCATAATTAGAACCTTTTTTTAAAACCGAATGATACCCTTTGTTTGAGTGTAAAATTTAAAGAAAGCGTAATTTCCTACCAAACGAGTACAGAAATAATTTTTCGCCTATGTTTTCCATAAAATATATTTTAATTTATAAAGGCAACCAAAATGAATGATAAAAATGCATACTACTTAAGTTGCCACTTTTTACGGTACATACATTTTGTTAGCGGTCAGAATGAAGCTCCCTAAAAAGCCGGCATCCTATCGTGACTGAAATGACTCCAGGAAAGACTACATGATAATCAGTATTACAATCTTACTCAGTGCCGATTAGCGAAAGAGTACCATTCTTTGGCATATGTCGGCATGTTACATGAATCATAGGCCATACTGTACTTAAGAAGTCATGCGTGGCAATGCCATCTTTCATATCGGCTGATAAATGGAGATGAGGTCGGAAGCTGTGATTGACGGGGCGTGAAGCCCCCATCTAATGCTGCCACATACATATGTGCTGGCTCCTTTTAACGTCCAGGCTAGAGACCATCTGACACGGAATATTGGAAGCCGACTCAAAAAATCTCCTATTTTACGATCTCTGCGGCAGACTAAGACTGAATTCGATATTCGCTTCCTCATCTCGTATTCGCGGCGTTACACAAAATACCAATATGCAGACAATAATAGTTTGGAACGTTGGTATTGCGCCTAAGATGAGTTAAATCCCACTATCTAAACAAAGGTAGGTGTTTAAGCCGATCGAAAACAGAAGCAGGCATGTATCCTTCACAAAAAAATTCGAGCCGATATGAATTATTATCAGTGCTAGTATACTCTGATTGGTCAGTTAAGACAGGACACTGTTTAAATGTGATTTTCCCAAATTAAATGACCTTGCGACCTGGATTAAAGGCGCAACTAATTTAAACCAGCCATTGCAAACTGCCTTCTGCAGTTTTCTCTTCTTCGCCAAGAAGTTCGTTTGCGTTTTTCATTTCAACGAGTCACTAATGCTTATTCGGGCGTTTGCTCCCCAGGGTAAATTGCAAAAATCCCCAAATTAGTGTCGCATTTTACCAAACGTCAAAACCTTCAAAGTTGTCCATTTCCCTGACAAATGGACCATCTCAGATTCATTTGCAGGGACCAGTTTTCATAAATTTCGTCCCCGTGGAAATGGATGCGGACAGAAACTCTCTCCGTAGCTAACCACTGGATGCAGAGATGGAGGTCTCACTAGATTGATTCTAGGACTCCAATCGGCTCTCATGGGTGCGCGGACCAACAGCTAGTGCCTTCATCCTCCGAAAATTCCTGCTGTGAAAAAATAAAACGCTAGTATCTAGGGTCGTGGCCACTGAGACAACAAGACCGAATCCCGTGAGCCGAAATCTAAACAACCAGGCACAACCACACGCTCAGAGGCGCATCTTCTCTTGTAAGTTGGTCAAAATAACTCGTCGTTTGAACAATAACTCCCCTCCACCCGAAGCAGCACGGTGTTGTGTATCGCGGAGCGACACAGGTGGTTACATAGTTTACAATCACTGTTAACAGCCTGGTACTTAACGGCGACTGGGTTTGTTCACCTTTCGTTTATGTAAGGTAAACAATGCGCAGAGCAAGCATAACAAGCTGGCAGATGACAAGTCTCACTAACGTCTGCCGGCGGACCAAATCCATGATCGCGACTTCGGCCGCGGCTTGTGGAGTCAAGATATGTACTATTAAGCGTGAAAAACCACGGAACAGTTTCTTCCCAGATTGACGGATTCCGCCAATGCAAGGTAAAAATTAGTCCTGTGAGAAGTAAGTAGGCGAAATAATTTAAGAGCACAGTAAGTAACCGGTCTCCTAAGGTGTTTAACGAAATGCGGAAATTCGTTTTTAGTTAGAAGGGATTATGTAAGTAGGGTAGGGGTATTGATAATCTCGCGGGCTAATCCAGTATTTAAGAAACGCCAGGGTACCTGCCTCTGAATGAATTTCTTTTCAACCGTATGCAAAAACCACATCAAGCAAAAATGACTATTTATATGGTGTGCCTTGCTCTATTGCT